TTTAAAAAATACATTTTTTTTTTTATTAGCAAGTTCAGGCGCCTATGAGGCCTTTTGTCGGGCCAAATCCGGCCGCCGGCCCCTCATGCGCCGCCGCGTCTACGTTCGCTCGGACACCGGATCGCTTTTCGCGAGCGCTTGCTCGGACACCCGACGCGGGGGCAGAGTTAGAGCGCTACGCGCCCCGCGCGTTGCCGGATTTTTTCTGGGTCAATGAATATATTGAAAATTAATTTTAAAAAAATATGAAATAAATTGTAAATAATATTGAAAAATATTGAAAATATTGAAAATTTTGAAATTATGGTATTTGAGAATATTGTGGGACCAATTAGTCGGTTACGAGGAATGGGGGTGTAAGCGAATCAGAGAAAAGTAGGGAATGCTTTTCTTCTTCTTTATTTTTCAGTATGTAGACAAGGTCGGACAAGGGATGTAATCCCCGCAATTAATTTTAGTTTTTCAGTGATTACGAATTTATTGCAAAAATGGCAATTGCTGATTTGTGCGAAGGAAATTTTGAGATTTTAACTCATAAAGATCATGGACTAAAAGAAAATTTCAGCAAGTTTTTGGTATAGTCCACAAATGAACTATCGAGTGAATTATTACTGCAAATGCAAGTGTTTCACAGTTCTGTTTGCATAACAAAAAGATTGAAGAAGAAGGGTTGTAAAAAAAAAATAAAAAATAATAAGTTTTGGGTTATCATAAAAAAAAATCGACGCATTTAATTCTATAGATTATTTAGACATCCCTAGTTCCAGTTGTAAGCGCTCGCCCGACTCGAGATTACAATTGTGAACATAGCGAAGTGAGTTTTTGTTTTTAGCACTCAAAAAAAAGGAAAAAATAAAGACCTGAAATGAATAAAAAATAATAAAAAATTTGAAAGGGAAGAAAGCGGATGTTTGTTATTTGCAGATGATAAGCATGGTTTGCAAGCGTGTTAGAATCAGTAGATTGAAGAGATAGATTTTCAGTTCATAGGTAAAGAGGCAAATCAACACAAGGCAAAAACTTGAAGAAGCGCCATGTTGTCGGCTACGCTTTGCTCCTGTAATTTCACACACGCTGAATTTATCAATTTACCTTTTTTGGTCGTCCTCTGCAACCTAGGGAACCTGAAATATACATGCAGCTCTGACGTGCAGTTAAAAGAACTAACTTTACAGGGTGGTTCTCGTACTCGAAGCGCAAGTAACAGTGATTTATTGAACTGAATGGTTGAGAAGGAAAGCTTATGTTTCCGAAAAATTTAAAACTTTTCTTGGAAAATTGCTGGTTCCAAAAAAATAGCAGAAATTCAGAGAGAAAAAAAACGGAAAATTCAAACTGCTACGATTATTTGGAAAGGTTACGGGGTTAAATATATAATTTAATCACTGTAAGAGATTATTGGCAAAGTTAAGGTAGGTAAATGAACTAAATTTTCGAAAATACACTGCTACTGAAAATGGTTAAAATCACAAGACATGAAGAAGGGAAAAAAACGAAAATTTGAAAATGGAGAGTTTAAAGTGAAAGAGCACTGAAGAGTAAGCGAGCAAGCGTAGCACAAATACTGAGTGACAGGGCTCTTACTTGGGGAATTTTTCGCTCTCACTGTTCTCTAGTAATTGTTTCTGTAATCGTATCTAATAATCCTAAAGCACGTAAGATGTTCGTAAGATCTAAAGGTGCCTGTAATGATCCGTTTGGGATTTGCTGCTGCTCGGCGTTAGGAAGATTAGATAGGACACGGCTGACGGTATTTTTACGTTTTTTTGGCACGATGTAGCACATGAGAATGAAATATTACCGAAAAATATGGTGATAAATGAGGTAAAACTCGAAATTTTTGAAAATTTTGTCAGGTCGGAAAATTGGGGTTCAAAATTTTTATTGAAGAGAGATGTAAAAAAAAAATTGAAAAAAGAAAAGGAAAAAAACCATTTAAAAAAAATAATAAGTAAAAAGAAAATAAATTCGAATGGAGAAATTTTTGGGGAGCTCCGTGGGTGTGTTAATTCTAAACTTCCACCTCCCAGAATCCTGCAAGACGGTAGCAAAGTCAGATCACCTTGGTCGATTTTACAGACTTACTCAGCCTTGAACCGCGAAGTCACCAAATAATTTTAATGACGTCAATTCACAGTCCGTAGCCGAGCTACAGTTTTGAACCGCGAAGTCACCGAAAAAAATTCGGTGACGGCTATTCACAGTCCGCAACTGAGCTGTATCGGGGTGAATTATCTCTTGCTGAGCTTACAGAGCAAAGGCAGTCAGAAGCGAAGATTCAACACGTTTAGGAAGATCGCCAACATTAAATCAAAATTGATAACTGACGGCGAAAGAAGGGGAAAAAAGAAAAAAAAAGGAAAGGAAAGAGAAAAAAGAAAAGAAAAAAAAAAAAATCTAAAAGAAAAATAAAAATAAAAAATTATCGCTGAATGGAGTGTGTGCGGAGAAAAGGATGTGATTAATTGGGGTAACTATGGCCTTTTGGCCGTAGTTTTTTGAAGTAAATTTGGGGTAGAGCTTTTTTGTTGAAGAAAAAAAAAATTGTGCAGAGTATGACTAAATTTATCGAAAAATTTTCAATTTTTAAAATTTAAAGAAGTAAACTTAAAATTTAACTCCAAACACGAGTTAAATGTAACAATAACCTTCAATTAATTTACAAAAAAAATAAAAATAAAATATAAAAAATTTCTAAAATTTTCACACTCAAAAAAAAAAATTTGCTTGGCTGCGAATGAGGTACGGGACAATAGCACACTCCGGGGAGTATAGTGTTATTACCCGGGGCCTGCACCACTTATAACGTGCTCAGCTCTCGAGCCAAGCAGCTGAACACGTAGGGGATGGTCGCAGAATGGGGGGGGCGTATATCCACCAGAAAGGGTAGTCCTAGAATAGGGAAGGTAGATCTAGGGGGATGTAAGAGCCCTTTCACTCTATATAGATGGTCACCTACCTCGAGAATGTATCCTAGTATCCTAGGGAAAGGAGGAACACATAAACTAGGTGGTGGCCGCTCGTGTATTGGGGTTTTGTATACAACGGTAATAACAAGTGCCACACAGGCTACAACTACTAAAAACAAACCACACAGGTAATCACACAGATACACAACTACTACAACAGGGGGGAGGGGTCTCCAAGCAGGAAGAGCCGTCGGGGATGCTGCCGCTGGACGGGACTTTCGGCGAGGGGAGGGATACTCAAAAGCTCAATCACCGGGGTGAGACGCGGGACGGGGCAATTTGAGGAGTCAAAGACTCGGGAAGGGGGTGAAAGACCGCTGGGGCAAAAGAAGGGTCGGGGACGGACCGTAGGACCAAAACTTTCGACCGAGGGTTACTCGTGAACCTGACTACGGGGTGAGACGCGCGTCGGGATCCGCGAGGAGGCGTAGGCACATAGGTGGCGAGACGACTGACTTCAGGGGATTTCAGAGAGTTCCTCGTGGGCCCCTAGGCCTGCTAACTTGGGCGTCGTTTCCCACGGTTAGCTCGCCAAAATCCCCTGACTAAGCATGTCATATCCGTCAGGACTCCGAAATCCGCGGAAAGCAGTTGGTTAGGTTGCCACTCCGTGGACTCCGGTCGCCCGGCGCCCGAGGCAGAGGTGTATGAAATAGTAAGGTTTCTCGGACTATATGGCAGCGGCCTGTCTAGTGATGTCACCGGGCGATGTCACTACCGGACGCGACAAGCTGTGTCATGAAAACCTCGCGGATCCACCGATCTCGCGGCGCAATATTGGCTCGCTGCTTCCAAAACCGCCGTAACTCCAATATTCCGTTATAGTTCAAAATGGCCGAAAATTGGCGCCTCAGCTATTTGCACACGGCTTTGCCTAAAACTCGGTATCTGGAAGTATTAGCGCACGAGAAAAACAAATTTGATGATAGATTTTTGGAGAAAAAAACCCTAATTTTTCAAAACGGCGGCAAGTCAAGTTTCAAAATGGCCGAAAATTGACAAACTCGATTTTTTGCAGATGGATTCGCCTGAAACTCGATAATTGAGGGTATTTTGGCGCGAGAAAAACGAATTTGACGTTAGATTCAATCGCGAAAGTCGAGTTTGTCAATTTTCGGCCATTTAGAATCTTGACTTGCCGCCGTTTTGAAAAATTAGGGTCTTTTTTCCAAAAATCTATCGCCAAATTTGTTTTTCTCGTGCGCTAATACTTCCAGATACTGAGTTTTAGGCAAAGCCGTGTGCAAATAGCAGAGGTACCAATTTTCAGCCTTTTTAAACTATAACCGGCCACCATTTTGAAATGGTTAAGGATGATGACTTCGGGTTTGCGAGAAAAATTTGATTTTTTCATGTTTTTTCGAACAAAGTGCCACTAAGGGGGTCTTCCCTTATGGAAATAAAAATTGGGGTCTATTACTCCCCCTCGACGGGCCCCCTGAAAATATAAGGGGGTTAAAAAGTAGCTCTTTTTGACCTAGGTACGTCCTCCAAAATTTGAATCTTTACCTTAATTAGGTAAAAAGTTAGAGGGGAGGGGGGGACTTTCCGAACACCCAGTATTTATGTTGAATGGAACTATGTCAAAATAAAGTAAATTAAAAGGATCAATTAGCATAGGATTTACATGCATCATAGTTCCTTTTCTTTTACTTTAATTCATTTGTACACGATTCTCCTGATTCCTACTGGTCAAAACCAATCTTTATTGATACATCCTATGGATATAGCATCTGGATGATCAATCAACTTCACTTTATTAATATGCGTATACTTCTGATAAAATCTTCAGTGAGTTTGAAACACAGCAGTTTGTTTGTGTCCAGCATTAATCTAATCATTGTAAGCTGTGTGGAATCATATAATTGAAAAAACGCAGAGCCATTCTTACGAAATAAACCGTATTTTCCGCTATACCTCCGTTCATTTTGGTGAAACGAATTATTGAATATCTTCCTACATAATAAGTTCACAGTGTACGACATCGAGAAAAAACAATAGAACTCCAAAAAAAAGGTAATTTTATCTTACCTTTGAGGATTGAATTCCTTTTAGACTGACTTTTGTCTCCATGAATAGCACCAACTTTGAATCTGAAAAAGAAGTTTGGTGAGAAGGAGAAACTAATTTTACAGAAATGTAAAAAGACATATATGATATGAGAGCATGAAATCACATTCAAAACTATCTACTTCACAAGATTTGTTGGAGCAGATGGGTAACTGAACCTTACTAACCAGATACAAAACATACAAATAAACATTTAAGTTGCATGTGCTCAACGTGAAGAGGAAAAAAGAAGGAGGCATTTGGGGTCAATGGTCATTGAACCAATAAGTGTTTGTTGAATAGTTGTTGAAAAAAATTGTTTTTTTGCCTATCCTGGTATGTTCCTTCCATTGTTCTCTCCCAAGGCAGAGTCATGCAGTCATGACCACCAACCCTTCAAACTTTCCCCTTTAATAAAGTGAGGAACAGTAGGAACGCATATTTGAATTATAAAACTTAAAAAGTTATGATGAGTCGAGGAATCTTTTTGCCCACCCCGGTATAACCATTCAAAAAGCTCAAAATAAAAATCTGTGCAAAAACTTACTCGTGTTTCTTAAGCAGCCTGCATATAAAATCAACCTGCCTCTTGGTGTTGGAGAAAATAAAAGTTTTCAATCCCTCAGATATCTCCAGCTTCTTAAGTAAATCTACAATTCTAGAGAAAAAATAGATGAAATTAAATAAATAGATAAATTACATTATCAATCTCTCCTTGGTTTCGGCCCAAACTTTCCTCAGATGTTACACTAAGTGTCCCCGATGCCTGGGCAAAATTTCAGCCACCCTGGATAATAAGGGGAGAGGGGGCTGGGGGCAAACTTGCCATTTTAGCAAAACTTTAAAAATCGATATCTCCGGGACAGTTTGAGTGCAAGTGTTGCGGCTTGCACCAAAACGTCAAACAATATTCCTAACAAGAATATCTATACTGTTATGATGAATGCATAATTTATGGTAATAATAATTACTTTTTTTTCAATTTTGACTCTTCTACTTTTTTCCGTTTTTCATATTCAAAAAAAAAGAAAAATAAGATTTTTGTGCAAAATTTCGGACCAATCCAAAAAATTTCACTTATTACATTGAAAAAAAGAAGAAAAAAAATGCAATCCTAAAAATATTACGGCAGTACCGTTTGGATTCATCATTAAAAAGGAAATAATATCAAAACGGCCCAATTTTCTCCTTCATACCCATGCATTATACTGTGCACCCCAAAATTTTTCACACAAAAAAATTAAATACCTTTAAGGTATGATGGCCTGAACACGTTTTGATCCTTCACTTTACGGGAGTATGATATCAAATCGGCCCAACTTCTCTGAAATATGTCCATTTCTGATCAATAACTTTTTCGAGACCTTCTGACTCATCGCTGAGGAGACACTGGTCATTACTTGACCCTTAATAAAGGAACCTTGCCTTGGACCTTCCTGCTTGTTTCAAATTTGCAAAATTATGTATGGGGATCATAAACAGTAGTTTCAAGACATCTATAGTTTTGTAGGGTTTTTTTCTACCGTTATACCTGCAGGTCAACTGAGAAACACACTACCGTTTTCCCAAGGCCAAGCGTCTCGCGGGCTATAGAATCTGCCCAACAATGTCATGTTTTGGGGTCCAAACTTTGTCGTTAAAGCTTAATAAGTTTTTTTAATATTTAACTAAATTGAAAAACCGAGGCTATTACGAGTAGAGCTGAGCATATTCTACCCAAATACTAGGAGTTTTTTAGGATTTACTCTACGACTTAATTAGCAGGAGAGCAAAATGGACTGCAAACGGTGCAGGCGAGCCCGATAGTGTTTCTCCGTGTATATCTAGCTAGGCAGCAGCCACCCATCTTTAATTTTTTTTTTTTTTTTTTTTTTTTTGGTCGTTAAATTTTTAGGGGGAGTCTTTTAGGATTGGGCCGGGGTGGCTACCGCCACCTAAAATTTCCTCTCAAATCGATCGTTGCTGTGTAAATAATGTAGTATGGCCCATTTTGAGTCTCCCCAAAATTAAATAGGTTCCGCAGTTGGCGCCCTTCAGGCATCAACTAGTCTTGATGGGGCACTCTCGAACCCAGGAAGTGACAGAAGTGACACCGTAGTTGCTACTTTCTGGTTGGTCGAGAGTGCCTTAGTTCATTTTTGCTCCTCTTTCGTGATGTATGTAGTTTTTCGTCCCTCGACATATTTCCCCGTTTCTTACCTCCCCTTAATTTCATCAGTCGGGTCGGCAGCGGAGTTTTAGTTTCATTTTTGGTCACTACAATAAATAACAGTTTTCTGTGTTCATTTATCCTTTTCCTATTATTTAAAGTAGGTGGGACGGGAGTCTCGTTTTAGCCGGCCAGCTCTCAGTTATTTTTTCTCTTGCTCAGTATAGTTAGCTGATGCTCACACTGCTTCAACAGAAACCAATCGGAGTGACCCTCCATTAAATTCTAAATGTACTCCTCTTTATTTGACCTTGGGGAAATGATTTGTTCCTGAGTTACGGCGATTTTTCTGCATGCGACGTATCGGCGGCCAATTTAGGCAAAGAGGAACAAGGGCGTGCAATATTTTCTGAGCCCTCCCTGAAGAAGGAATCCTGTGTTTTTTTGGATGCTGAATTCGAATATGAACTTTGTTTTCAAAAATTGTCCTCGAAAGTTGCCAAATCGTGCAAAAAAGCCAATTTCTAGCAATTTTCCCCCGATTAGAAAACCAATTGAAGAGAAATGTTCAAAACAAACCTCAAATTCGGATTCTACGTCAAAAATTACGAATGAATTGCACTGCAATGCAGACCGCAGCTTAAAGTAGGTGTGCCCGGAATAATTAAGACAGATTAGAGTATTTGTATATTTTGGTCCTAGAAATAGTGGATTGTTGTTAGTGAGAAGAATTTATCATATTTTTTGATGCCAAATTCAACGACAACTTTGGCGAAGTCACGTCAGTCCAAAGAATGTAAATTCGGATGTCACCTCCAAAAAAGGTATGTATCTGTTTTAAACTAGGCATTCTTAAAATCTAACATACTGCAGAGGTCGTCACATGGTGCAAAAAGTGCTGAAAACGTGCCTGTTTTGCACAATTCAGTAACTTTTCTAGCGAAACTCTAAAAAACTAAAGTTTATAATCGAATTTGGCGTCAAAATATATATTAAATTCTCCTTACTAACAACAATCAACAATTCCAAGGACCAAAATATACAAATAGGTACTCTGATTTGTCCCAATTATTTCGGACACACCAAATGTAAGCTACAGTCTGCAATTATCGAAGAACAGTGATTGCAATGCAATTCCTATGTAATTTTTGACGTAGAATCCGAATTAGAGGTTTGTATTGATCATTTCTCTCCGATTGGTTTCCTAATCGTGGGATTATCGCTAGAGTTGGCTTTTTAGCACGATTTGGCAACTTTCGAGGACAATTTTTGAAAATAAAGTTCATATATAAAAATCGCTGTTACTCCACAACTAGTCATTTTCCCAAGGTCAATTAAAGAAGAATACATTCAGAATTCAATGGAGGGTCACTTGGACTGGTTTTTGTTTACACAGCATCGATCCATTTGTAAGGAAATACAATAAACAGAAAAAAGGCGAAGCGTCAAAATTGAATTATTATTATACGATAAACTATGGAACCATCATAACAGTATAAATATCCATATTAGGAATATCTCTTGACGTTTTTTGGCTCAAACTGCAAAACTTGTGCTCAAACCGTTCCGAAGATATAGATTTTTAAAGATTTGCAAAAATGCCAAGTTTGCCCTCTGTAAAAAATAAAGTATGACACGAAGTCTACGATGTTGCAAACCGAGTTATGTGATTGCGGACTTACACCGTTGAATCACCCCTTTTTTCTTACAAGTGAGCTTGTTCACTAATTTCTAATTCCTACATTTTTTAAAACCTGAGAGTGCACATAGTTCACGGGAATTTTGCCCAATTTTATTTTTTGAGCGATGTTAACCCATGAAAGACGAGTTCAAAATTACGTATTATGAGCTCCCATTTCAACGCATATCACTGGATCATCCAAGATGGCGGCCTTGTAGATCTATTCCTTTTTAGCCACACTTTCTATTGCCCTTCTGACGTAAGCATGTATCTCAATTTCCACATTAGCTCTGTTTTAGGTATAAATTTATACTTTCTGGGGCTCTTGCGGAATTCAAGATACGCCAATATGTCAGAGGAGCGACTTATTGACCTTGCCGTCTCTCTGGCATGATCCATGGGACGTGCCCGTGCAGTGATAACGGGAGGAGTCAACAAAAGCAAATCAGAAACTCTCAATTATCCTGAAAGATTCATGAAAATTGAAAGATTATCCAACAGTCTCTGCTGGAATTTTTAAGACCTGATTACCGAACTGCACCCAAATTGATTGAACAGGCGCATGTCAACGTAACATTTTTGGATTTTTTGTGGGTTGAAAATTTGATAGACTCTAAACTTGGGCTATCCATCAAAAATTCCTTTAGATTCTAAACTTCACTCCAATCAATTTCACAGGTGATTCCACTTCTTCAGTGCAAATCTGTCTGAACCTAAAAATTGAGAATCTGTTGCTTCATTCCCTTATGCAAAACTATATCCATATATAATGCCAATAGGAAAAGAATACTCACTTGTCTTGCTTTTCAAACTCCTGACAAACTTCAACGATCTGTTTTATATTGTGATTGGCAGCTAAGTCCTTGTTCCCAACATGGATCTGAACATAATCGCCCAGGAAATCACTGGCCAGTTTTTGAACACTCTGAGGCCATGTTGCTGACCACATGACTAGCTGTCGATCAGGCTGAGAATAGACAGAGATTAAACATGAGAACATCCAATTACTTGAGCATTATGGAAGATTTAATTAAGAGCTTGTCGTGACTCCATTTTATTGACATAAGCCCCTAGACTTAAGGCAACAGCCACAGCTCTCAGCCATCTGCGCTGCCCTGAACCAGTTCCGGATAGACGGCTCAGATCAACTTGGTGGGACTTTCATTGTTTTTTTTTGTTCAAGGAACTATCAAATTAAAGTGGCCATTTTAGATTAAAAATAGCGTTGTGAAACCAATTTGACTCATCTACTTCAGATTGTACTTTCGCTGTAATATACTTTTGGAAAAGTTAAGCTAAAAAATGTAGACATTTTTCATACAGACTTTGAAGTTGAAGACTTTTTTTCTTTCAATACCATACATTCCTAATGATATTATTGCATCTATGGGGTCATTTTTCATACGAAATGACTTTTCTTATTGCTGTAGCCATGGTTCAAGACAGCTGATGCCAAAAAGTCTAGTAATATGCTAATTGCAAAAAATTAGTATCATTTTGCATTTTTATTATGAAAAGTGTCATAGAAAAATTGGAATGGATCTTACTTCGGAAATAATTATTGAAACATGTCCATTACATGGTTACACTCATAGAAAATCGGCATTTCATATACTGGAGCAATCACGAGGCAGAGATAAAATCAAACATGATGGAGCATACCCTGACTTGGTTCAATAACTTCCTCAGCTGATACTCAAACCCCATGTCCAGCATTCGGTCGGCTTCATCAATGACAACGAATGATGTTCGCTTAAGGTTGGTCGCTTCCATTTGCAACAAGTCAAGTAATCTTCCTGGAGTAGCTACCACTAACTGGGGGCATTCTTGTAAGAATTTTATCTGAATTCAATTTAAAAAAACACACATAAAAAACTAAAAACTTTGCTTCAATAACCAGCCTCCTCATATAAGCTAGAAAGTCGTGTTGAAATTGTATTACATATTTGCTTTCATTTAACTTTATAGGTTTAAGAATAAAATAAGTAGGAAGGAAGGCATGCATTTTAACTGAAGCTTTTTTTTCCAGAGTGCATTTAAGTTTGTCTCTATCATATACAGGGTGTCCCCAACCACCCGTACCGCTTGTGTCTTGTTTCTTCTAGAATAGACAAAGTTGCTTGTTAACTAAGTCGTTTTATGAGTCCTTGCATTCTTACTGGGATTTAATAATTTTAATTCTCAGTAGAGTTAATAATGCCACGTCAAGTTTACTTACAGAGCTATTCTGTGATTCTTGAAAAAGTGCTGATATACACATAAAGGGGAAAAATTAAAATTATAATGAATGATAAATAAATAAAAAAGAAAAAATTAAAACAAACATTTTAATAATTGATCCAGGAAACATAAGATTACTTACTGACTATAAAATAAGTTTACGCCCACCTGTACATCCTTTTTCTTCCCTCCAAAGACTGCAAGGGCTTTCACATCAAATTGATTTGCAACATTCTGAATCTGCTGAACCAGTTCTCTCGTTGGTGCAAGTATAAGAACGATGGGTCCGTCACCTGCCTCAGACGGCTTTTGATTTGCAATGTGAGTCAGGGCTGGAAGAAGGTACTGAGAACCCCAAAAGATCATCAAGAGCAAACCAAATTATTATCAGTCATTTGGAGGTGGAACGTTTCTTTTTTAAGGCTGAAAACATCTTGGGCTTCAAAAATGAGATAAGGAAACCTTACTTATTTAACTCTAGTCTGTTAAACAGTTTTTCTAACAAGTCTATTAATTACAGGTCATTTGGACACGGATTAAAAATCCTTGTGCTCATGGTATTTATCCTTATTTTTACAGTTTTTTCTGCTACATAATAGATACCAGATAATTTTTATGGCTATAATTTTGAAAAACCAAATTTTCAAGATTATTATCATAAACCATTGCGAAATGGCGGCTGTTCTTAGTTCGAAATATTCGAAAAAAGTACCTAGGTAGCCCGTAAATTAAAACTGTGCGATTATGAATTTTTAGGTTCAGTTATGGCTTCATTACAATTACAATTAAAAGGATTAACTGCTAATACGATTATTACTTGATTGAAACTGGAGAGGAGAAAAATTATAAAGTTTTATAATCTTTATTCTTGTGTGGCTTTTGTGCCAAAAACCGAACACAAAATATTTTGAGATCGGAGGAATTTTTGAAAAAACTGGGAGCCAAAATTTTCCTCCAATTTTTTTTAAGGTTGACTTACTGCCTTTTCTTCTAAAGTCTCCTTGCCGCCCAAATTAAACTTGAATTTCAACTGAATCCACTAAAAATTTTCTACATTTGACTATACAAACAAAGTACACTAGAGAAATAGAGCCTGAATGAAGAATACTCAAAAGAAATTCACACAAAACTGCGTCTCCCTAGTAGCACAGCTAAATTCACAGTATATAAACGAAGTATAACCGTTATGTAAAGAGCGTATTTATATAAAGAATGTATAATCATAACGGTTACATAAAATATATATAAAGAGCGTATTTATATAAACATGTATAACTGAAGTATAACAGCTATATAAAACATTTTTAAAAATAAATTTTATACAAACTAATTATAAAGGTTATTCGCGCAATTTATAAAGTTATTTGATTAATAACGGTTATACGACGGCGGTTGCCTTTGAACATCCTGTTACTTAACCGTTATATGACGTGTGGTATACTTTCGTTAAAATTTTTTTTATATAAATCTGCTACTAGGGTACCCGCCCGCTCAAGATTTTTTTTATTTTTTTATTTTTAATTTTTTAATCATTTTAAAAACATCTCCATGTAGAGGTGAGCCTCCAGGCTAAAAATATAAAAATTCATCACCTAAAATACAATCTTATCACATAAAATAGACGCCAGGTAAACATTAATATGAAAAAATTTTTCCTCTTTTCAATAATGTCACCAGAAAAATGCAAAATATAGCAGAAACATTATTTACAAGAATCCAAACTATTATCTGAACTCTATTTTATAACTATCATCTACAATTATCTGGAATAGTTTTTTTTTTTGCCTTGGTGCTGGGATTAATTTGAATGTTTTGGGATAAATCAGGATCAGAGATAGATTAGGACAAGTCACAATAAAGTATGCCCCATTGCCCCACCTCAACTTCTACGGTTCAACTTTTGTAGCTTTCAGCTACCAAAACTCACAATGGACCACTAGACAAGGTACGAATTTAAGCATTCTGATACATGTTTCTTCACCAGAATTTCACGTAGAACACGATTCGCTCAACGAAAATTACTGAAACCAACTCCTAACAAAGATATTAACGTTTTTGTTTCACATACGTTACGAGGAATTTGAACTGTCCGCTCACAAGAAACTCAAAGCTCTACGTGAGTCAAATCGCGCACTACAACGGTTTCAGCAAGCTTCTCAATCGAGCAATGTTCATTCCTCACCCTGTGTTGTTCAAACTATAAACAACTTGCTATAGCTGAGCCAAAGCGTCAATATTGAGGTTGCCAGATTTTTATATCGCAGAGACTGTCATGATAACGTTTAGCGCACGATGTGAATCACGTAGAGCATTGAGTTTTCATGAGCGGGTGGTTTGAATTCACGCATCAAGAATTATTTAATATCTTCGTAAGGAGTTAATTTTGGTAATCTTCGTTGTGCGCATCGTGTTCTACGAGAAATTTGGGTTAAGAAGCATGTATCAGAATGCTGAAATTCGTACCTTGTCTAGTGGTCCATTGAAATTTTTTGCAGATTTTTTGACATTTGATTACAAGTCAAGTCACATTGGTTCAACGAAATGATTAAACCTTTTCATGGCACTTTTCATGGATTATGCCCCGCTAAAAGCAAATTCTAGCCCAATGCATAGTTTTTGCCTGTGACATATTAATAGTTTAAATGAATGAATTACTAATACATTTTTTTCTCAGCCAGAAACTTACTCCAAGAGTTTTGCCGGATCCTGTCTGAGCAATGCCCACCAGATTAGAGCCACTTAGAGCAACAGGCCATCCTACAGCTTGGATGGGAGTCGGTTTTTCATAGCCAAGTTTTCTGAGACAGTAAGAGGAAAAACAAGATTGAGGTGAATAAGCAAAATTTCAATTGAAGTATAAAGTTCAATTTGTGCTCAGAAAGAAAAATGTCATGAAAATTTCAGTATTGTGGTTGTAGGCGCCATTACTACTGAGTAACTCTTGAGCAGAGATTATGCTTGAAACTCCATGGAAAGTGCATCTAGCGGGCAAGATAAGCACAATACCATGATCTTCAGGTCCCGAGTGAATTTGGTACACCTTAGAAAATTGCACTGCACTGCAACGGTGCATGGAGTAAACATCTATGATTTTGTGGGCAATCCTTGCATTGAGTCAAGGTATTTTATAACACGATGATGCAAACCCGTCCTCTAAAACAGGCTGCATTGAGGTACTTACTAGCTAAATTTCACCCAATTTTGATTTACAAGAGGTGTGCATGACCAAAGTCGTATCCTCGAATTTCTTTTCCTTAAAAATGTTGGCATAGGGCGATCTGTGATGAACAGCTCCGTGTGTCAATCCTGTTTGAACCATTCAAACTTCATTGCTTCAACCCTCTTTTACATGCCGTGACTATACTTCCCTTTGCTTTGTCTCTTTTTCGTCACTCCAAGGGCCAACCAAAAAGCAGCATGCTTCTTGGTCATTTTCATCCTTTAAATCCTTTCATAAACGTTTCATACTCCATTAACGGCTCTTCTGTCTCGCCTGTAAACACACGGTTCACGCTTGTCTACGCTTGGCGGTATCAAAAGTGCCTGTTTAAGCTTGGGCACTATGTTGTCAAACTTATCAAACTAGTCACATTTTTTACGCACAAACTAATCACAAGAGATAAAAAATTTTACCTAATATTTCTTTTGTTATCAAAATTAATCTCTGAAATTTTCATGAGAGTATGTGGAGAGTATTTAAAGGATATATTGAAGCAGTATTCAGATATACAGCAAAATAGAATCCAAGTACAAAAGAAACTTGCGATACTTCGGCCAAAAGGTGACAACCTCGCCATGTAAACTTTACTTCTAGGCCCCTTTTATTGTAGACAAACGATTAGATAGATTCCTACAATTTCAAGAACTTTTTTCATTAAAAAAGATTGGAAACCCCGATTCTCCCGTTAAATAAAATCTGCCCGCAAGATTTGGCTTTGGAACCTCTGCTATACATTGCTATGATTATTTTACCGTCTAGGTCATTCAATGTCATTTCAACACGGCTTGTAACCACCCCGACTTAGATTTCTATGATTTTATTTCTTTTTTAATCTCCGGGTCAACATAACAAAAAACCCAAAGTTTCAGCTTCATACCCTTAATACTTCCTGAGAAAATTTTTCTTGAACTTTTGTGGCATTTTTAAAAAATGCACTCTCCTAACTCAGAAAACAGGATTGACTCATGTTTGAAAAAGCCTCATAGTTTAAGAGTTTTAAAGATTTTAAGCCGAAATTTGGCACACTAGTTGGTGTTAGTATGCACTAGGGGGCTATGCCTCCTGGCCGCTACGCGGCCCAACCCCAAGAGGACACTTCGCGCTTTCTTAGGCCCGCGTCGACAAAAGAACAACCAAAAAAATGAAAAGGTTTTCATACCCAGACTCTCATTTGTCCAATCTCCCTCTGGCTGGGAGCTATTGGACCAATAAGAATCAAATGAAAAAATCGGCATTTATTTCAAACTTTACGCCAAGGCTGAAAAGAAATGGAACGAAGCGTTTCGTCACTTTTTGATACTCTGAAGCAAGGGGGCATACCTTCAATTCACTTACCCTACTAAAAGACCAAGATTCAAGACCTGCTTGCCCCCCTTTCTAAGCTTTCTGGTCTACTCTTATTTAAAAAAACCTGGGTGCTACTTTCTAATTCTGATTGAGGCGGGCGCATCTAGGGACTACCACCTGTCGATAACCACAAAAATCAAGGGAATCGGCCGGGTAGAACGCTCAAACGAACTGTGACAAAAAAATACATTGTTAAAATGGAAGAATTAGCGACTTTACCACGTGATATAAAGAATCTGGGTCATATTTTCAAAATCTAAATGTAGCGGGCTCATCTAGAGACACTTGCCTTCAAAAGCCGCAAAAATCATGAAAATTGGCCAAGCAGAACGCTGCAACTAAGCATTACCAGATATGCAAATTTAGGAGGTCTCAGAGCTTATGGTACAGATTTTAAGGGGAAAATTCCCAATTGAACCCAACTCACTTAGGAGGGCCATCCGAGTTGCAGATACGCCCTTTTAGTCCTGATTTTTAGCGCTTAAAACTAGTTTTCTTAAAATGGGCGTAGCGACCGAAGCTAAGGAGATATTTTTTTTTTTTTCCGATTAGTCCATGTCTTATCTCATATCTTCACTGGAAACCACCGAAAAGCCACAAAAATCAAATTTTTGCGACAAATTTTACCAATTATAGTGAGGGTCATCATGAAATAATGATTCTTTGAATTTACTTTGAAGGCCATTATTAACTTTTTTGCAATAATACCGAGTAGTTTGCGGTCGACTTCTCTAGCCGCCCCCCAACTTTCCCAATTTTAAAAATCGAGATTGTCAAAGTTTTGTGCCCAAACGTACCGCAAATAAGAAGTTTTGTACCCATCGTGTAAAGTATGTAAACTTAAAACAGAGGAGGGAAGCTAGAGAAATGAAGCTTCCCCCCCCCCCTCACCACACAAATTGTACTTTTTTTAACGTAAAAGTTTTGTAATATGTAGCTTTGTAACAAAATGTACCGTTCAAAAAAAATTGTGTACCCTCATAGTGAGGAGCTACAGGGGGTCAAAAGTGGGGGGGGGGGCTGGAGAAATATTTTCGAAAAAACGAACCTGGGTTCTCAAAAACAGTCAAAATGTATTATATGAGTTTTGTACCGAAATGTACCATCGAAAAAACCAGACTTTTTTTTACCCCAAGGCCCCTAACCGAGGCATATGGTACCGTAGATATAAGGGGATATTTGGAAAGAAAATAATTCACTTGCAGTGCATATTCATTTAATAATGGTGCACCAGAGGTTACGAAATATCTAAAAAGAACTCAGCTGATATAAGACATATTAATTTTTGCTCTTACAGCATTGCCATATTTAAGTTCGCCTCCTTAAAAATTAATTCCATGATGAATAGATGCGAACTGGGAACAACATACAGGTCCAACACTTGTAACTAGGGATGAGGTTTCCCTCATCCTTAGTTACAACCCAGAAAAACCTCACCAGACCTTATTCTAAAACAAACTGCATAAATTGATTTTTCGCAAATCACAAATAGAAATTTCTCAACAAATTTTGACTCGAACTCCGAATTTTGATCTCGCTGAAGCCCGGATCCCGGTCTCACAATCAGTTCCTTGAAATTGCAAACCGACTTAGGTTTTGTTAACAAATCATCCGGTTGATTACCTGTAGGGAAATATTTTACATCAGTTACTCTTTGAACAATCTGCTCCCTAAAAAAAAAAATTATATTTAACATCAATGTGTTCTGATCTTTCGTGGCTGCAATACTTATGCAATCTTAGGGATCCGTCTCTCACATCAAAATTATTTCAGTATTTCTATTTTAACATTGTCATGTCAATGGCATTACTGTGCTTATGATAGTTTTTAATTAAAGTGCTCGTAAGTCAAGATTATCATAGAGTTTCCCTCTACATTACTTTCACATTCCCTTCTGTTTCATGGACGTCACGTCTAGAGTTAGTGTATATTTTAAGGACTATACACCATTCATTTACTTTAGAGTCGCTCACTGGACCTTTAATTTCCTTAACTTGATTTTCCAGAGTTAACTAAAGTATCAAGTTTGAGAAAAATTCTGATTTTATCAGCAGATTTATCAGTTTCCTATTAACTAATTTTCCGATTTATCAGTTTCCTATTGACTAATTTTTGGTCACTCGAAATTTTACAACAAATTTCGATATTATATAATATATCTTGCCGATTACATGACTCATGCAAAATTTCATTCTTCACTCTCCACGCTTTATGTCTGATTGTAAATTAAACCACAAAAACAACCATTCATTTTTCCAGGATTTCCTTCTCCCATTGTCATCTTGGATTATAAAAATTGAGCTAAACACACCCAAAGGGATTCCATCCTCTAGTCATTCCTCTATTCATCTCCAAATGGATCTTGACAACACCCTGTATTCTTTACTACAGAACTAGACATCCATTCTCAGAGCTTTCATTTATTTCACGTTCTTGCTCGTGGTTCTTCGTGAAGTTCTGATTTTGTCTCTTGGTCAGATGCATAAGTTTTTCTTGCATGGGATCTGATTTTGACTGGAAGTCAGATTCATCAGTGTTTCATCTCATTCTGCACATCAACAGAGCACTTTAACACAGGGCTAGGCTCTTTGTCTCATCGATAATTACTATACTCTAACTCAGACAAACATATTTTTCTGTGCATTCCACACCGTTAATACATTTGTGAAATGCCTCATAGAATTTTACTGCAATGAACATTGCGCCAGCTCTATCTATTACGGTTTTCACCATTCGCTTGGTGATGCCATTTTACTGCGAGGTTCGTGGATTTTTGGTGACTTAAATAACGTGTGATACCGTTCTAAACACAAACTGTTTAATCTTGTTTCGAAGAGGCTGTCCCATTTTTCATAGGAAATGGCCGCAGGAGATTTTACATTCATACTTTCAGGAGTCGTAATGGATCATCATAGAGGCCTAAATCCGGTTACCTTTCTCGTCTAGCCAACCAGGGGGCGAATGGGGAGGGAGTCAAAGGTCAAACACACCGACCACCTTAACTTTAGAACGAGACAACGGATCACCTTGATCTTGGGTTCAAATGAAAGCTCTCAGCAAGACCTTTCATTTTATGTGTAACGAGGTCTGTTTTTGGAGATCTTTCAATGTGAAATAATCATTGTTTGATTTTTCAAGCTCAAAAAATTCAGTTTGTCGGGTTCTTCCATGATGGGAACGCAGGAATCACTTAAAAAACCATTTTAAAAGATAGTCTTTGATTCAAGCTCT